ACTACAGGTTCCCCCCTCAAGGCCTGGCTATTTTTGTTGTTGTTGTAGTTTGGCCAGGGCTGAGTTTGAACCTGCCACCCTCCATATATGGGTCCGGCACCCTACTCACTCACTGAGCCACAGGTGCCGCCTTATTTATTTATTTATTTTTGAGACAGAGTGTTATTATGTCACCCTCGGTAGAGTGTTATGGCATCATGGCTCACAGCAATCTCAAACTCCTGGGTTTAAGCAATTCTCTTGCCTCAGCCTCCCGAGTAGCTGGGACGACAGGTGCCCACCGCAACGCCCAGCTATTTTTTTTTTGTTGTAATTGTCGTTGTTTATCGGGCCTGGGCCAGGTTTGAACCTGCTAGCCCTGGAGCACGTGGCTGGTGCCCTAACCACTGAGTTTGAACCTAGATTGGTATGTTTTTTAAATGCTATGTAATCCAAATAAAAACTGTCTTGAATTTGATTTTAGGAATTTAAGGTGTTGAAGTATTAAAAGAATCTTATTATATAATTATTTAATTAATGGAAGTCTCATAACAGGGACATTGAGGACAGTAACTAACTTGATTGAATTAATTTCATATATACTAAAGAATGAAGGCTGTTACTCTATTATTAAACCTACTGTGGGTATTTTTTATTGAGTACTCTTGAAAATAATATCACTGATACAGAGAATGGCTGTGCCATAAAGAGACTTGTAATTTTTTTCTGTTACCACCAGGTGTCTCTCTCCCCCTACTGTATATTATGTGCTACTGTTAAGATTATGGCACACACGAAGCTGATCCTTTATATCCATATTTCTTGGCTATGTACTTGAGAATTTCTCCCTCCTACCTCTTATCCATTGATCTCTGATTCGATCACGTAACCTGTCTTTTCTATTCCTCCATTTTTCCTGTCAGTTCTTAGATGTGTTTAAATGCCTTATCTTGGTTCATATTAAAAGAAACCAACTTGTGGTGTGCACATGCCCCTCTAATTATTTGTACCCCTCCGTTCTCTTCACAAACAAGCTTTCTGAAAAAGCTGTCATACTTTGTCTTTATTATTTTGGTTCTTATTTATCTCTAAATCATTGCAATTCAGTTTTACCCTTCTCTGTGACTCTAGAACAGTTACTTAATTTTTTTTTTTTTT